ATTACTGATCCGTACAAGATGACATGCCCCTAACCACAGAACTGCCTCAATTTCCCCCTGGTCAGAAGTAGCAGTTTCTGCCTTGTCTTTTTTCTTCCTATTGCGCTCTTACCCGGTCTCTCACTTTCTTAGTTTTTCAGGTGATTTCAAGCTAGAAGTTGTTTACCTATACTTGTGATAGGAACTTTTTAATTGAAAAGATACTGTCCCTTATTATGGATGAGGATGTTTTGAACAAGTTGTTAAATGAGTAGGATTTTGAGTGGCTTTATTTTCCTAATTATGTCATGAGTTGGGTACAAAAAGATGGACTCGCTGGCTATTATACTGAATTGAGAGTGTTAACCACTTGAGGCAGTATGGAAGTGTAGCTAACTGAAATTCCATGTGTTGTTGGCATGTTACAGAATGTATACAGTGCTCGGTGATAATAGTTAAGTACATTTTTATAAGGATTTTAATTTGCAGAATGCTTTCACATTAACTTTCCAGTTTAAGCCACGTTTCATTCCTGGAAGGAGAAATTTTATGCCCCTTCTCCTAGTGAGGAAGCTGAGGCTCAAAAGGCCTACTGATTTGCCAAAAGTCATTCAGTTTATTAGTCATAACACCAGGAATTCTTTTTTGTTTTATTTTAGAGAAAGAATGAGAATGAGCAGGAAAGGGGCAGAGGGAGAGAGGGTTTCAAGAAGGCTCAAGTGGAGTGGAGCTGATCAGGGCTCAATCTCATGACTCTAGGATCCTAACCTGAGCCGAAATCCAGAGTCGGACGCTCAACCGACTGAGCCACCCAGGCACCCCTGGGAATTCTGACTCCAGAGCTCATTCTCTTTCCATAACTGCAGTTCCTCCATTTTATTATATTTCTTGGAACTTGCTCACAGATTTACACTTTTTGGTGATCTGTCGATTTGAACTTTTCTTTGACCCCTCCATATGGACCTGTTACTCCCTCTGCACGTGTCTGCCGGTAAGTAGGCGGTGAGTAGGCAGATAGAGAGTGAGAGGGCCATTGGCAGCCCAGAGAGGAGTGGACTTCCTAGAGGAAACAGAAGTGACTCAGAGTCCAGAAAAAGAACATATTTGCCTCTGTAGAGGAGGGAAAACTTCCTCTTCCCCTGTTAAGTTCTGTAGCTGGTCTAAGAATTAAACTGCCATCAGACATTAACAGGAGAAAAGCAGAAACATTTTATTTTTTGTGTATATGGGAGTCTTCAGAAGGAAAATGAAGCCCCAAAGAAGCTTTTAGGCCCCAAAGCACAAGTGGCAACGTGGTAAGATAAAAGGGCTTAAATCATGTAAATTGTGGGACAATGACTAGGAAATATATGGGGAAACTAAGGGAAGATGATGAGGGTTATCTGGGTTTGTTTGTACAGATTCATTTTGTCTTTGGCTCCCAGTCTAGTGATGACAGTGTTCTTCTGTTCTTGGTATGGGGAGGGTATCTTTAGTTAGGGGGCAGGGGGCAGAGCAGAGAGCCTTGCTCTCATCTACTGCTTCTCCACTGCAGTCAGCTTAAAGTAACTGATATGCCAAGTGACATATTTTGGGGTGCTGTGTTGTAAATCCCCTTCACCAAACCTGAATAAGGTGAAGCATTCTATTCAAAGGCTAGAAAGCCGCCCTAACAACTAGCTAGGGAATACACTTCAGGCAAACTGTCAGGAAGAAAAGGGCCAAGTGCTTTAAGTCACAAAAGAGTTCTTGCAGAAGAGGGAAGAAATGGGTGACTGAGCCAGTGTAGGATATTCTAAAGGCCAAGGCTCCTCTGGGTCCAAATATGAATACAGATTTTTAAAAAATGTTTATTTTTGAGAGAGAGCAAGCAAGCATGGGCAGGGGAGGGACAGAGAGAGGGAACAGGATTCGAAGCAGGCTCCATGCTAACAGCAAAGAGCCCAATGTGGGTCTCGAACTCAACGAACCATGAGATCATGACCTGAGCTGAAGTAGAACGCTCAACCAACTGAGCCACCCAGGTGCCCCATGAATACAGATTTTTGAGGTACACTGTGCCTTAGGGCCCCCCCCCCCGCCACCATCGCCCCCCAGGACTGAGCCACACCTGGAAGAAGTAGGCTCTCAGAGGTAGTGGTACCACCTGGAATTGGTGTCAGCCATATCTGCCTTGGGGTCACACCCTGAAGAACGATTTAGTGAGGGGTGAGATAGGGACATGGAAAGGTTTCATAAACAGAGCCTCCAAGCTAATCCTCAGGCTGCCTTTTTTTTTTTTTCTTCAGGTTGCTTTTTTTTTTTTTTTAATTTCTGAGAGAGAGAGAGACAGCATGAACAGAGGAGGGTCAGAGAAAGAAGGAGACACAGAATCTGAAACAGCCTCCAGGCTCTGAGCTAGCTGCCAGCACAGAGCCTGATGCGGGGCTCGAACCCACGAACTGTGAGATCATGACCTGAGCCGAAGTCGACGCTTAACCAACTGAGCCACCCAGGTGCCCCTTCAGGTTGCTTTTAAAATGAGCATCATGAAGTTTACTTGTTAAATTTGCTTGCTTTTTTCCCTTTGTTTTTCTTTTTTTGTTGTTTGTTTGTTTTAAACTTTGAGTTCTAGTAAAAGATTGTTTGGGAAAAATACTAATCTCTTATCTGTGCAAATGAGAAATGGGTAGAAGATACAGACTGAATCTGTGCCTCTAACCATCATCCATGGTGGGTGATTGTAGATGCACCCCTGTGAAGAGTTATTCTAGGCAGAAAGACCTCTCCTCTCTCCTGACTTCCCTTTTTCAGTCTGCCCCCTTTCCTATCTAATTTCCTTTCCTTAGTTGGGGAAAAAGTAGTTGCTGAATTCTTGTGATCTGAACCATCCCACTGAACTATTTACAGTATTCAGTGTTTGTGTGTTCTTGGTCCTTTTAAAGGGTACCAGGTGCAACTTCATCTCCTACTCTCTACTGACATATATACTGTTGCAGAAATATCTTTGATGCTTTCTGCATTGTACCTTTTTGTTGCGGTTTTCAAATATCTGGGATACGCTCCCCACCATTTCTTGGATTATCCAGACTCCCATTCATCTTCTAAGGTCTGCCTTAATGTTGAAGCAGCACAGCTTACTGAGGGCCCGGTTGGCAGAAATCAGTGAGAATATCCTCAGAGGAAGTTGAAAGTAAGCAGAACTAACATAAGGGTCTGTTGGTAGGCAGCTGCCCCTTACCATTGTGAACTTGGAGACGGTCCTAGTTCTGAAAGCTAAAGGGAGTGTATTTTAAATAAGGAAGGCATTATCATTGTCCCATGCCTATCACAGTGTGACTTCACATCTTGTTATTCCCCTGGTTCCCTTACACTCTACAGCAGGATTGATCGAGAATGACACTTGATTTTGGGGGTCAGATAATTCTTTGCTGTCGAAGTTATCCGATCATCCGAGGATATTTAGCAGCATTGTGGCCACAAGCCTGGAGGCCAATAGCACTCCCTCAGTTGAGACAACTAGAAATGAATACAGACGTTGCTAAATGTTGTGCAAAGAGGGAGGTTAGAAGAAGAGAGAGGCTGCACAGTTGCTCTGCACTGAGGACCACTGCTCTACAGGCACAATGAAGTTCTTCCAGTCTTCCAGACACCGTGTGTACCTGCACACATCCGTGTTGCATAGCACCCTTTCCGTTCATCGGCTTGTAAGCTTTAGCTTTGTTGAAGATCTAGCGCTTCTGAAGATCAAGCTTTTCTTGCCGAAACTGTACTTGCCCCTTCTTTGTGCTTCCAAGAGCATAATAATTATTTACAAACATGTATAGAGCTCCTACTCTGTGCCAGCTGTTATACTAGGTTCTAGGAATACCTCAGTAAAGAAAAACATTCTTGCCTTGTGTTACTTAGTCTAGGCTACTGTATCACAAATTCTATATTAGTTTCCAGACAGACTGAATTCCCTGAGGGCAGGGACCAAGTGCTGAGTCTTACTCATTTCTGTATCTCCTAATTCCTTACATAGTATTTGACACAGAGTTGGTTTTCATAGATTTGGCCAATAAAAGAAATAATTTCTTCCACTCTGTGCATCTCTACTTACATTACCTCAACTCAGGTTCTCTTCATTGTAAAAATGAGCTCTTGCCTGTTTCGAAACGAGATAAGGAGATTCAGTATGCCTCCTTCAAACCCTGCCTTCTGCAAAGATGCCAGAATGAGATATCCAGAAGACAGGTTTTGTTACTCTGCCTAAAAACCATCTGTGCTTACTGCATGTGGTATTTTAAAGACCGATGTATGTCACATAGCTGAGTCTGGACTTTTCTGGCTACTCCCTTCCCTAGATTTCTCTCCCAATAGCCAGAACAGTCTATAGCTCCCTACAATCACTGTTTCACACCCCAAATGCATTGTTCCTTCTTCCCCTTGCCTGCATTTCCCTTTTTCTATTGAGAAACTCTAACTTATCCCTTAAGATTCAGTTCAGGGATCCCTTCTTCCTGGAAACTTCTAGGCCACCTACCGGACTAGGGTAGTTGTTCCTCTTCTGTGTCCCACGGAGCCAGTGTCTACTTAGAATACTTCCTAATTGTCTGTAATGGGTCTGCCTTCCCAATTCTGCAGTGAGTTTCTTGAGGGCTGGACTTGTATCTTACTCTTTGGATCCTAGGTGTCTAGCACAGTAACAGACAAGTGGTTGGCACTTAGACTTTGAGTGAATGAAATCTTTAGTAATGGGAGCTTTATTTAACATAAAAATTTCTTTTAAATGTTTTATTTATTTTTGAGAGAGACAGAGAAAGAGAGCACGAGCGAGCAGGGGAGTCAGAGAAAGAGGGAGATACAAAATCTGAAACAGGCTCCAGGCTCTGAGCTGGCTGTCAGCACAGAGCCCAACGCGGGGCTGGAACCCACGAACCGTGAGATCATGACCTGAGCCAAAGTTGGATGTTTAACTGACTGAGCCACCCAGGCTCCCCTTTAACATAGAAATTTAAAATAGAAGCTCTTAATAATTGTGGGATTTTTTAATTTTTTGTTTTGTTTTTTTACTTTCACAGATATTGGTATCAACTTGACAGATCCTATGTTCAGAGGAATTTATAGGGGAGTTCAGAAGCATCAAGGTAAATGTTTCTTTTGTTTAGATAAAGACAAACTTTCTCCCTCAAGGAGATGATGAAAAGCATGATCCACTTTACAACTGAAATACTGAAGGATTTATTATGTAACTTGGATAAAACTATAAACAAACTGAAACTTATATAAGCTATATTGGTAAGTCATGACCATGAGCATTTATAAAGTACCTGTTATAACAAAGTGTTACAAAGGTCTTCTCTGAGGAAGTTTATGATTTTGAATATAAAACTTTAACCATGTGCGTATTATGATTTTGAATATAGAACTTTAACCATGTGCATAAAAGCCAAACAATCATTAGTTGTTCAATTGGTCTTTTAAGCATCCGAACATTAGGGCACATAATTAAAAATAACATGCAGTTGAACATCAGTATCTAGTCTTTTGAAAACCTTTTCAACTGAGTGACAGAGGTAGTGTGATTAAGGGGCAGATGTGCTGCTGTCCACCCTCCCTGTCTTCCCTTTCCCCCCTTTCCATCCATGTCTTGCTAAATCCCAGATACCTGCGGTATAGGTGGGAAGAGAGAGTAGTTTTCTCAAAGATTGATGGAAATCTTAGCCAAAAGTAAAATGGCTTATATTTATCATATCAAGTTCATTTAAACATATTTTGTCAGCTAAGGTGAGTAAGCAGGAAATGATGGCGACAACAAGTTTTTGAAAGAATTTATCCAGTAAACTCGTTTGTGAATATTGCCTCAGAAAATTTCCTTACTTGTTATTATGTAAATGCAAACGGGAAACTTTGGTTTTTGTGGTCTGGGTGAAGTGCAATCAATGATTAAGTCAAGATAATTTTACTATGGTTCTAGGTGATAATGAGTGAAAGCTTCTCTACATACAGAGAATGTTAAATGCCACTTGAAAGAAGAAAGTTAAATGTTAGCTTTGTAGTTCATTTAGAAGTACCTTTTCTACTTCATTTAGAAGTTTAGATAATGTTTTTGCTTTATGTTTATCAAATGTTAGGTACTACATCTTAGAGTATATAATTCTATTGATTTTCTTGCCTTTGTATCACTTAACAGACTTCATGCTTTGTGACTCTATATGTATGTTTGTATGTGTGTGTTTATGAAATAAGTTTTATTGTTGTTAGTATCCCTCTGGTTTATAATATTTAGCAAAACTGGTTTTCTTAGTGTAAGTTCACTAAGTTGATATTTTTTGTCCATGAGAAATTTCACAGCTACTCTAGAAGCAATTATAATTCTGACCAAATTTACTGTGATGCTTAAATATGAAATTAATACATGGATTTATATAATTGTTTAATATTGCTGTCCATTTACCTCAGGCCTCTTAAAGCTTAGCTTTCTAAAGCTTGGCTAAATATTGATCTCCCCAGAAAGCTTATTGTTACTTAACAAGAAATTTTGGGAAAAAGGAAAACACTGTCAGGGAAAATAAAAATTCTCCTTCCTCATTGGCAATGTGAATTATAATAATATGGTGTTAACTGAAATTTACAGAAATGTTTTATCATATTTTGGGAGGCATTACAGATGTACTCTGAAAAGCCCTAATAAAAAATAAACAATTTTAATGACTAATTGTTTTACTTTTATGTAAAAAATACAACACCAACAAGTTTCAATTTTAAGGCAACTGACTTAAGTTGTAGTGAGCAAATTCACCTTTCATTTGAACTTCCTGATTTTTGTCCCTTTTGGTCAACAGAATAAAATAAAACTAAATGGATAACTAGTCACCTAGTTTGCCTTATATAGGTTTTTTTTTTTTTTTTATCACTGATTGTTATATAAGTACTCATCAAATGGTATTGGTTTGGTAAATGTGATTGTTTCTATGTATTTTTCTTTCAAGAAGGGATAATTAAGTGAAAAAAATTTTTACTAGCCTTTCTTAAGGTGGCATTTTACTTTTTATAGATGACTTACACGATGTAATAGAGAGAGCTGTCCAGATTGGTGTTAAAAAGGTAACATTCCATTTTTGTTACTCTTTTAAGTTTTTTTTAATTAAATTTTGGTTAAGGTACTATAAAATAGAAGAGGAAGAGCTAATGCCACACTTGGCATTTTGGGATATATATTATCAACAAGTAATATTAGCAAATTTATGACATAAAATATCAAAATTTTCTATTCACAGCTATTTAAGTGATACAGACCTCTTGCTTGGATAGTTCTTTCATGTGATCAGAAATGTAAATGGCAAAGTCTCTTTGAAAAAAAAATTTTTAAACCTATCTGAATTACCAGGTCTCTCAAGATGCAACTCTTAATAAAAATTTTATGACATAATTTAGCATTTGTTAGAATTAAGTGATTATCAGAAAGACATGTATCCTGGGGCACCTGGGTGGCTCAGTTGGTTAACTGTCCAACTCTTGATTTTTGGCTTAGGTCTTGATTTCATGGTTCTGGAGTTAAAGCCTTGCATCGGGCTCTACACTGACAGCACAGAACCTGCTTGGGATTCTCTCTTCTGTGTGTCTCTGCACGCCCCTCTCTCTCCCTCTCTCTCCTCTCTCTCACCCTCCTCCCCCCAAAGTAAACAAACATTTTTTAAAAAGTGTATCCTATCACAACCTTTAGTTTTTACACTTTAATTTTTACCGTACTAATTTGATTATCAGGAAAATTCTACTTTTTAGAGAGTTCTAAGCAAATGAATATTAGCTCTGTGTCAAATTCTTTGAATAGATACTTCTTTTTAATCAGTTTTTTTTTTAATATCAAGCTATCTCCCCATTCTCCCCAACCCAACCCCTCAACACACACACACACACACACACACACACACACACACACACACACACGAAATCAGGTTAAGTTCCATAGTGTGGATGTCAGGACACTTGATGACTGTGGCTTCTAAGGTGAATAACCTCAGTTTTAAAAGGTGACACTGGATTTTGCACGCAGCTTGAGTGTATGTTGGCCGCTTTCTTCTCCACTATTTCAGCCTTCAGCCTTGCTGCCGTTGCTGCCATTGAACTGCCAAGATGTCGCTTTCTAATAAGCTGACTCTGGACAAGCTGAACGTGAGGGGGAAGCGGGTCATCATGAGAGTGGATATAATGTTCCTATAAATGAAGAACAACCAGATAGCAAACCACCAGAGCATCAAGGCTGCCATCCCAAGCATCAAATTCTGCTTGGACAGTGGAGCTAAGTCAGTTATTGTTATGAGACATCTAGGCCGGCCTGATGGTGTCCCCATGCCTGACAAGTACTCTTTGAAGTCAGTTGCTGTAGAACTCAAATCTCTGCTGGGCAAGGGTGTTTTATTATTAAAGGACTGTGTGGGCCCAGAAATGGAGAAAGCTTGTGTCTCACCCAGCTGTTGGGTCTGTCATCTTGCTGGAGAACCTTCGCTTTCATGTGGAGGAAGAAGGGAAAAGATGTTTCTGGGAATAAGGGTAAAGCTGAGCCAGCCAGAATAGAAGCCTTTCAAGCTTCACTTTCCAAGCTAGGAGATGTCTATGTCAGTGATGCTTTTGGCACTGCTCACCAAGCCCACAGCTCCATGGTGGGAGTCAGTCTGCCATAGAAGGCTGGAGGTTTCTTGATGAAGAAGGGGCTGAACTACTTTGCCAAGGCCTTGGAGAGCCCAGAGCGACCTTTTCTGGCCATCCTGGGTGGAGCTCAAGTTGCAGACAAGATCCAGCTCATCAGTAATGTGCTGGACAAAGTCAATTGGGGGTGGAATGGCTTTTACTTTCCTTAAGGTGCTCAACAACATGGAGATTGGCACTTCTCTGATGAAGAGGGAGCCAAAATTGTCAAAGATCTGATGTCCAAAGCTGAGAAGAATGGTGTGAAAATTGCCTTGCTTGTTGACTTTGTCACTGCTGAAAAGTTTGAGAATGCCAAGACTGGGCAAGGCACTGTGGCCTCTGGCATACCTGCTGGCTGGATGGGCTTGGATTGTGGTCCTGAGAGCAGCAAGAAGTATGCTGAGGCAGTCGCTCGGGCTAAGCAGATTGTGTGGAATGGACCTGTGGGTGTATTTGAATGGGAAGCTTTTGCTCAAGGAACCAAAGCCCTCATGGATGAGGTGGTGAAAGCCACTTCCAGGGGCTGCATCACCATCATAGGTGGCGGAGACACTGCCACTTGCCGTGCCAAATGGAAGACAGAGGATAAAGTCAACCGTGTGAGCACTGGGGGTGGTGCCAGTTTAGAGCTCCTGGAAGGTAAAAATCCTTCCTGGGGTGGATGCTCTCAGCATTGTTTAGTACTTTTCCTGTCTTTTGGTTCCTGTGCACAGCCCCTAAGTCAGCTTAGCACCTGTTGCATCTCCACTTGGCATTAGCTAAAATCTTCCCCCATGTCAAGATTCAGCTAATGGTAGTGCCAGGAACCCTTAAACAGTTGCACAGCATCTTAGCTCTTCTTTACTGCACCCTGGATTTGCCTACATTCTTCAAGATCTTATTTGAATTTCTTAGTGACTAAACCGTTGTGCATTCTAGATTGCATATATTTATATTTTGCCTGTTAAAAGAAAATGAGCTGTGTTAGCTTCTCTTTTTGAAGTAGCTTATTCTGATTAGCTTTGTCATTGCTTCACTGCTCAGCATGGAAATAAGATGAAATTCTAATTGTGGGTAGATAGGGAGACAAAGTTGGTGATCTATTCACTCAATCATAAAAGTATCCACTGAAACTGGAAAAAAAATAAAACAAAAGGTGACACTGCTGATTCATGAGTTTCCAGTCCCAGCTCTGAATGGTATAGTTCCCTTTCACAATTAATAAGAAAGGATAAAGGTTACAGGATCCCTTTCTCATGATGAGGTCATTCAGTGCTTGGCAGTTCCCTTTATAAAGTGGTTTTCTGCAAACTCTGAATACCAGGCTCCTGAATTTCTGCATGTCAGCCATGAGTAGTTCAGTCTTAACATTTGTAAACACATGCACACACACACAGATGTAAGAAGGACAGAAATGGAATTTACTTAGACATGGTTCCTAATTGAAATCTGACTTCGTGCCTTGCTGTTACGTTGTGATTAAAAGCACAGTGATCTCATGGCACAGCTGGCTTCCAGCCCCGGCTCCATTCTTCACAGATGTCCATTTCCTTGTCTGTAACTCCTCGTTGACAATGATAATAATGCCTAATTGAAAATTGTGAGGGTGAACTAAAACAGGAATGCAAAGCACCTGGTATTGGACCTGCATGAAATGAACACCCTTTATTTTGTTAAGTTTGTGGCAGAAGCCACCGTCAGCCTAATGTCATCATTGTGAACCGGGAAAGGAAATTATGTCCTCTAGTCTTGTCCTTGCTTTTTTTTTTTTTTTTTTAAATCTATTTGGGAAAGTTATAGATAAAAGGTAGAATTAGCAACTATTTTATGTAATCGCAATATTAATATGGGCACCTTGTCTTGCATTAAAGAATTAGGTAATGTTAGTAAACAGTAAAATTTTCCCAGTATTTTTGTTAATATATTAACAAAAGCAGTTGAAGATTTCATTATGCCTATGTGATCCCTTAGTAAGATACTCAATGTTTGTTATATTAGAAGTTAAAGCTGCTTTAAAAAATGTTTCTTTATCATTTGCTTTTTCTCCTGTGTTTTGTTGTTTTCTCTTTAGGCATGTACCCAGAGTGAATTCTTCATTTTAGCTCAGGGAGGCACTTGAAGTGAGATGCTTAGAGAAATATACATTGGTATGCTTAAATCACTGCTCTAGAAGGATGTACACTATCAGCACTGCCTCAGTGGTCACCATCAACACATCGGCTCTTTGGTGACATTTTCCATTTAATACACTAGTAAAAACACTGTTCTGAGTCCTGGTGGACCACAAGGGCCATCCCTTTAGAAATGTGCTCTTCTAAGAGCCATACATTTCCTTACAAAGAATGCAATATACATTAACCCAGTGATTGTTAATCTTTTGGTCTCAGAACCCATTCACATTGAAGACCCCAAAGAACTTTTGTTTATGTGGGTTTTATCTGTAAATATATATTGTGTTAGATATTAAAACTGAGAAAAATTCAAAATATCTATTAACAACCAATATATATATAAACCAATATATTACATAAGGAACATATTTTCCAAACCCCCAAAAATGGAGTGACATGAATGGAATTGTTTTACCTTTTTTTTTTTTTTTTTTAACATCTCTCTTTCATGTCTAGCTCTTAATGGAAGACTGCTAAACTTGGATATGTGTTTTTGCAGGCAGTCTGTTGTGACCTTACACACTCTGTGGCCTCTACAATAGTCCCTGCACACTTGTGACTGAGAGTGAAAAAGGCAAACAGCATCTTTGGTATTATTTTGAAAATAGTTCTGACCTCACCTACCCCCTGGTGTTGCGGGACCTCACTGGAGAACTGTGGAATTAATAAACACTATTGAATCTCTTAGTTAGAATCTTCAGAATTCTAAATTCAGAAGATTTAGTTATTCAGGCTTTCATAATGTGATCTCTGTCCTCTGTCAATCCATGAAAAACAGACACGGAATACACCTTAATAGGAAGGAGTGACACGCTCTGTGTTGGACATATGCTTGTATGTGTGGACGGGGGTGGTCAGGGACCACTTACACAGGAGGTGACCTTTCAGCCAAATGTTAAAGGCAGGTAAGTGTGTGACAGTCTAAGAGAGAAAAGCACTCTGGAAAAAGGCAGCAGGGAGGCGGGTCTAGGAAGCTTGTTGCTACTCTGTTAGAGCGTGCCTGTTTTCTTTCTCTTGCAGTTTATGATCACAGGTGGAAATCTGCAGGACAGTAAAGAGGCACTGCATTTGGCACAGACAAATGGTATTCTCCTCTTACTTTTACCCGCCCCCTCCATATGAATTAAGTTATTTTGAAGAAATCTGTCTAAGAACTGTCTCAGGTACCATACAATGGATCATGACTGTGAAGACAATAGCAAAACACATTGATTGCAATGGGGTGTGGTTAAGATGAAAGAGTTCTGACCCTGGTATGCCAGATGTTTCGTTAAACCCTCTCATCATACTTAAGGATTATTTTAAGATTTCAGCTAATGAGAGTTAAGTTCACCAGGTATATAATGTAGTCTCAGATATTCCTGATACAGGATTTTTATGTGTATGCTGTTATGTGTTCAAGATGGGAGCTGCTCTTTATTTTGCTTTTTTTAAACTTAAAACTGTGAAGGATCATTTATTTAAATATGTATTTATGCAGACCACTGTGTAAGGCCCCAGGAATGCAAGTAATAATATATAATCCCTCAGATGCTCACTTTATGTTCATACATTTTGCATTTATTTGAAATCTATAAAGGTTTGGAATTGGCTCCAAAGGGAATCCTATTTACACAAAACATCTCCTTTACCTGGATTTCATTTTATCTAACCTTGTTTTGGTTTTGTGTTTTGTCATGCTTCATGTGCTAGACTTTGAAGAATTAGGCTTTCCGTGTTATTTTTCAAAATACTGATTTACTTATTAAATAAAGCAATTTTGGGGGGCTCTTGGGGGGCTCAGGTTAAATGCCCTACTCTTGGTTTCAATGCAGATCATGATCACACAGTTTGTGGGTTTGAGGCCCATGTCGTGCTCCATGCTGATGGTGTGGAGCCTGCTTGGGAATCTCTCTCTCCCTTTCTCTCTGCCCCTTCCCTGCTTGCCCACTCACACTTACACTCGCTCTCTCTCTCTCTCTCAAATAAACAAAAAAATCTTTTTTAAAAAAGCTATTTTTTGTAGCAATCTTTCTAAAATGCATACTTCAGATCCACTGACACTTTTCCTTAATGATTAACATATCATCTTCCCAGATGCCTTTGAGGTGTGTAAGAATATTGTCTTCCATACTTTTTATCCCTAGAGAAATCTGTTTTTAAAAGTTCTTGAGGGGCGCCTGGGTGGCTTAGTCGGTTAAGCGTCCGACTTTCGCTTAGGTCATGATCTCGCGGTTTGTGGGTTCGAGCCCAGCGTCGGGCTCTGTGCTGACTGCCAGCTCAGAGCCTGGAGCCTGTTTCAGTCTGTGACTCCCTCTCTGACCCTCCCCTGCTCACGCTGTCTCTCTCTCTCCTAGAAATAAATAAAACATTAAAAAAAAATTTTACAAAAAAAAAAATAAAAAAATAAAAGTTCTTGAATCTCCCATACTTTTTATCCCCAGAGAAATCTGTTTTTAAAAGTTCTTGAATCTCCATTGTCAGCCCTCCTTACTCCCCTTCATGAACCTGTGTCCTCACTGCTTTAAAACCTCTGCCCCCTCTTATATGTAAACACCTGCAGGAGAGGCTGAGAAAGGCTCCCCACCTCTCACGTGGGTTCAGGTGCAAACACTCAGAAACCTTTTTGACTTCACATTGGAGTTTCATGCAATTACAGTTATTAAGACGTACTCTCCAGATAAGTGAGCTTTATTTTTTATCAGAAAAACAAACCCTCCCTTCCACCTCTTTAAGTCATCCTTTTTAAGGGTGTTTAAATTTTAATTGTCATGTTAACTCTGTGAAACAAGATGGTCACATGAATAGTGAATATAAAGATATAGTTAGGACATTTCATTCTGTAAGAAATTGTTTCAATTTCCATTCTGCAAGGCTGAGTATATACCAGGCTTTGGAAAGAGGTGAATTAATTCTTTTTACCAATCTGTTAAGGCAATTTTCATATTCATGTCCTGCTTTGTAAGGTAGTCCAAAACTTCTATATGATTAACTTCTTGCAATTCTGGTAGTTTGAATGGTTTATGGCTATCATTAAAAGTTAACCAGTTGAAATTATTTGATGTTCTATCATTTGTATATGTTAAATATAATATGAAAAATATTTTGGAAATAATCCTTAGACATTATTTTGTGCTAGATATGTTTTTCAGTACAGTTGGATGTCATCCTACAAGATGTGATGAGTTTGAAAAGAATGACCCTGATCTTTACTTAACGGAGTTGTTACATCTTGCTGAAAACAATAAGGGGAAAGTTGTAGCAATAGGAGAGTGTGGACTTGGTAAGTAATTGCCAACATAGCCCTGTTAGAGTGACTTTGAAAATGATTCTTTCGGTACAAGTTAGGAGTAATGTTTCTTTTTTTTTATCTTTTAAAGATTTTGACCGACTACAGTTCTGTCCCAGAGATACTCAGCTCAAGTAAGGAAATTTATTGACTTTTGGAATTATCATAAAATCTTAAAAGTGATTTTTTTATAGCTTTTTGTCAGTTCAGTATGTAGTTGGGGTAAGCATCAGGATTTTTTGTTAATCGCTTTGTATATCAAAAGTTAAGTGAAACAAATTCCACACCTACTTGCATGGAATTCAAAAGGGATGAAAACATAGTTCCTAATTGGTTAACCGTCTAATTTAATTCTAATGGTAGAAATAAGGGATAGGTTTTACATGATAGAGACTTTTGTTCTTTGTTTCATGAATGTATTCACGTATGAATCATTCCAATGAAATGATTTAAATTCAGTTGTGGGGGACATGATTTAAGAGCAACGGATATTAAATAGATATATTTGGTGATTATAGGATCAATCACCAAAGCTAGAAAACCATATTTTACTCTTGCTGGGCATTGGGTATCGTCAACTTAGAATATGAGACTCCTTTCATAGGAGCCACATGGAGAGTGGTGGCTTCTGAGAAAACGCCAAAGCTCACAAACCATGTAGACTTCCTACAACCCACTGCTCATACCTTTTCGGTGGATAGTGTTATTGGGCAAAAAGAAAAATTAGGTCATAGACTTAATTTAAGACTTGAGCATTTTGTTGCATTTCAGAAACAGTGTCTTAATGGTCAAGATAATTAAACATCAGAGTAAATCCTTTCAGAATTAAAACACTATGTATAGCAGGACATGGTTTATGCTTGAACATAGATGCCAAGTGCCCAGGTATTAATCTGTACTAGAGAGTTTGAACTCCATTCAGTAAATGATTACCAAATGCCGCCTCAGTATTATGACACAAGGAAAAATAGGCTTGGTTCTTATGCCTTTATAGATAAGAGAAGACATAAATAGTTAAAATAGGTTGGAAAATGCTATCAAAAAGGTGTAGGCCAGTAGTGGAGAAGGACTTCCCTGGGGAGTCAGGGAAGGCTTTGCCAATAAGGTGAGGAGATGTGAGTGAGGCCTCTTCCAGAGTGAAGCTAAGGACAGACTGAAGTCTGGTTTGAAAAGATGGGCAGTTCAATCTGAGATTTTTTTTAATTTTAAAATATCAAATGATTTAGTAAAAAAAAAACAAAAACAAAACAAACCACACTGGTAGTAATCCTATGTGGACTGTTATGGAAACAAAGGCCCATCTTCCACCTGTTGCCCCCCTGCATCTGCTGGCCCCCTGCAGCCGCGGCTCTGCACGCAGTGGCTGGGCTGGTTTCCGCGCTCCCTGCGGCGCCCTGTGCCGAGAGCCGCTACCCCTTCCCGCCCCACCACAGGCTAGCCTCTGGGCTCTTCAGCGGCACACGCCGAGTCGTGTTCATGTTGTAGTTCCCACAGCACTGCTCTCAGCACGCGGTAGGTACTCAGGGAATGTTCACGGAGTTTTTAATAAGGAGGAAAGGGTCCTTTCTAATTCCTGTAGATGGCATGGATATAAAGTTTATAATGCAGCTTTTACTGTTGGATCTTTTCTTGGAAGAACTTAGATTTTGAGCTGTTACTTTGATACCATCCTGGAAAGTTAACCAGTGTGTGATTTGTTGTTTTTCTTTTTTATTTAAAAATGCAGTCAGGAAAAAGATTTATGAGAAGAGAAAAATGGGAAGTGGTGTGATAGTAGGCCAGACAAAACTAATGTGCAGTAGACAGGGTGTCTAAAAAATAACATCTGAGGAATAATGGGCAGTAAAGGCAGTATATAACAGTGCTAAAAGTAGTTATCTTTGGAATCACCGGCTTCGGGTTGGAATCACAACTGCCATTTGGTAGCTATATGTCTCTTTGTAAATCTCAATTTCTTCATCGTTAAAATGGGTATACTACCACCTACTCTTCTTAACATTTGGAATAATATCCCTGGCACAAAGTAAGTGTTCAGTATATTCTGGCAATTGTGTTATTCTTAGAAATATTTGAAAATACTGGCTGTCCTTTTTCTTTGGGGTTTTTGGAAAGCGTTTTTTACAGAGGGGAAAAACAATCAGGAAACTGAGAGAAGGCTGATTCCATCATGGAAGGGTTACCCTTTAAGCATTCCCTGCATTTTCAGTTTCTCTGCTGCAAGCCACATTCTCTTTTCTTGTTGCAAGTGTACAGCTGGGTTCACTTGAGTGGGAAGAATTTGCTTTGGGATTTTTCTTGGGGCTTCAAAATGGTAACACTGTGCAAAAAAGAAATCCAACATCAGACAAGATTTCAAGATAATTGTTTGGGATTTAGGGAACCTCAGAGGGGAGAGACTGAGGCTGCCCTTGCCATCAGCCAGTCCCGAGGAGGGCTTGCCACCGTGGGTCAGGGTACACTGCAGTGACGCCCTGGGTGTTGTGGAGTCGCCGCAGTCCTCGTTACTAATGGCCGCAATTCTGAAGCTGACCTTTTCAAGCCCTGTCCTTTATTGTTGACTCTAAAATGTAAGAAGCGGTATTACAATTAGAAGCAATTGCAGCTTCACTAAAATGAGCAAATCTAACTCAAGTAAATAGTGGTTTTCGTATGTGAGCTAAGAAAAAAAAATCAAAGCAGAGATGTCTCTTGATAGGTGCCAGTTCCTGCCTTTGAACTTACGCTATTTCTAGTTACCATGACGGGTATTGTTTTTTGGGGTTTTTTTTTTTCCTTAAAAGACAGTAGTTTTATAATGTCAAGCACCAGTTATTCTCAGTTTTTGTCATTAGGAATAACTAACTGGCCCCTTAAGACACCGACCTAGTTTGAGCACATGGACCTTTCTTTTCTCATATTATGCAAAATTCCATAGGCGTGCTGCTTGAGCATCTGTTATTTTCGTGATTTGTACTTTTGCCCGCTCTGTGAGACGCAGGCTTATTTCCAAGGTGATCATTAGACTCTGTAAATCTGTGGCTTGGTTGTGTGGCTTTGTACATGGAGTTGTATGTAAAAGAAATGATCCGTGTAGAGTGGGGAGCACAAAGGGTGTGTGGTGTGTAGCCAGAAGCCAGATACATGGCAAAGTTTATGTAATGACTGCAGCACACTTAATTGCTGACATTTGTATTATTTTAGAAGTTATGGAAACAGTAACTTTTCTTTCAAGATTTCATTGCTATTTCCTACACTGTGAAATTTCAGCACTTTGTTAAATTATTTTTGCTTATTCTAGCCCAGCAGAATCTGAAAAGGTGATTTAAAAACGTAAATATAGTGGGGGCATCTGAGTGGCTTAGTCAGTTAAGCATCCAACTCTTGATTTCTGCTCAGGTCATGATCTCACAGTTTGAGAGTTCAAGCCCCACGACAGGCTCTGTGCTGACAGTGCCAAGCCTGCTTGGGATTTTCTGTCGCCCTTTCTTTCTGCCCCTCCCCTGCTCACTCTCTTTTTCACTCCCTCAAAATAAATATTTAAAATAAACAGAGGTGCCTGGAGGGCCCAGTCATTTAATTACCCGACTTTGGCTGAGGTCATTATCTCACGGTTCTGTTCCAGAGTTCGAGCACCGCCTCGGGCTCTGTGCTGACCGCTCAGAGCCTAAAGTCTGCTTCGGATTCTGTGCCTCCCTCTCTGCCCCTCCCCTGCTCATGCTCATGCTTTGTCTCTCAAAAAAGGAAAAAATGTTTTAAAAAATATTAATAAAATAAAAATCGAAACATTGGGTAATAAAGACAAAGACCACCAACTTTATGAAAACTATTTAAGTACATTTCTATTTCTCATTTTAAAATTTAGTGCCTGGGTGGCTCAGTCAGTTAAGCGTCCGACTCTTGGTTTCAGCTCAGGTTACGATCTCATGGTTCATAGTTCAAGCCGTGTGCTGACAGTGCAGAGCCTACTTGGGATTCTCTCTGTCTCTCCCTCCACTCTCCCCCGGCCAAGATAAAGCAATAAACTTCAAAAAGAAAATGAAAGAAATAAAATTTAGCATTTTCAAGAGTACAAAGGGGTACTTCAGGAAAATTGTTGTCCTATACTTCAAGGAGACAAGATGGCAGAAAATATAGCAAGAGAGATTTAAGTGAAACACAGGGAAATTATTCCCTAAAATCAAGGTGCCTGGAATAAGGCACTTACTATCTGTACCTACTGGTTTTATTTTAACCGCATGACCGTGACTGAGAACTAGTGAGCACTGTGCTGAGTGAGGAGACGCGGAGCGCCCACCCCGTTATATCTGTGGCTGTTATGCTGTGGGACCAGGAAAAGGCTGCTTTGAATACAACTGTGGTCATTTTGGCTGGAACCTGGACTTAGGGACTGAAGTTCTGGCTTCACGTTTGTCCCGCTGTGCGCTGTGATCTTGGATGAGGTCCTAGTACTCTTGACACCAGCTCGTCCTATTCTAGGGTTATTTTGTGGGTCAAATGAGATAATGGTATGTGGCACTTGGAACCCCTTCTAAACTCAAACATTCAGGGCTACCATTTTATCGTGTAATTTTCAGATCTTTGAAAAATAGTGTTTTAGTTTTTGTGTATATTTATGTAATAAATCCTGTGTTTAGTGCTAATAATTTCTTGTATAACAGAACATGGAAAACACGGGGTATAAAGCTTTGCCTGGCCTCTTGCTGGAGCAAATGGACTCCCACTGACGGTGCTCAGCGAGCTCTCCAGGCAAGAGGCTGGTGGTACACTCCCCACCAACACGTGCTGCGGGGAGGGGTCCCACAGGTGATGGGAGGGGGTCTGCTTCATCTGCTGGGGCGTGGCAGAAGAGCTGGTTACGAGTGTATTTGAAGGAACAGCTCCCACCACTGTAAACGTTACATATAGCTCTTTATTTCTAGTGATCATTAGTTAAAGTGCTCATTTACCTAGAAATTATAATGGAAAGCTAACAAACATTAATTTTTTTTAAACTTGAGAGAGAGAGAAAGCACATGAGTGGGGAAGGGGCAGGGGAGGGGTGCGGTGGGGTGAGAACGCGGGTAGAGAATCCAAGAGGGCTTTGTGCTGACAGCAGAGAGCCCGAGTCAGGGCTTGAATTCACTAACTGTGAAATGTGCCAGACCCTTAAGCGACTGAGCCACCCAGGTGTCCCACTAACAAACACTTTTAAAAATAAGTTTGTAATCTCAGAAAATGAAGTGTCCTTTTCAGGAAGACGTATGTGATAATTATCAAAGCCTTTGGCTAAGCCAGCTGTATTTTAAACCTCTGAATTCACTACTTCTCTCCTATAATCTCCTAGATAATCAAAGTCCTTTAATACACACACACACACACACACACAAACACAATTATTTTTCTCATAAGAATTCTCATATATTTCTCTTAAATAAAATTAACAAGGTAATTTTTTTCGCATTATGCAGATATTTTGAAAAACAGTTTGAACTGGCAGAACAAACAAAATTACCAATGTTTCTTCACTGTCGGAACTCACATGCTGAATTTTTGGGTGAGTTGAAGCTAAAATCTCCTTTAGAATTTAAGAATTTTGCAGAAATTAGCAAGGTATTTGCCAAAAGTTGTTTGTTTCTAATTTACAGACATAATGAAAAGGAACCGAGATCGGTGTGTGGGTGGAGTGGTGAGTAGAAGAGCTGTTTGAATAAAGGATGCGCAGAAGCTGCCTTGTTACCTCTAGTGCTTCTGAAGTAATTCCAGTATCTGCAGTAAAGTTATGACCGTTCTTCCCGCTCTCGTTGAGATATATACATTTACTATTAAATCTATGGGCCAGATGTAATACAGACCTAAATCACACACATTTAATTACATTTATTTTGTTCAGAGTACAGAATGATAAAGAATTCTGTTCACAAGAAAACCCCATGAATTTACTCCTACATTTTAATAGTGTGGGTGATACTCTTTTTCTCTGCCTCTTCCATCAGCCTCTTCAGTGTTTTTCATTTTAAATTCTGAGCAAAATATAAACTAATTTTAATATCTTAAAATATTTTAATATTCACCTCAGGTTTGCCTTCTTAATTTCTTGTCAACTGTATAAACTTAGCACTCTGATTACAGACTCCTTTTTGGAATCTGCTTCTACCCTATATTCTGTGTGGTCACTTCAACCACTAGTCCTGACACAGTTCCCATAAACATTATCTGCCCACCACTTAGCTCAGGTATCCATGGCAGTGTTCTTGAAATCTTTTTTGGATCATGGGTTCTTTGGAAAACCTGCCTCAGAAAAATGCTCAGTTGTACAGCTTTTCACGTTGGTTTCAGAAGAGCCTCACTAGCCTCCAGCAGAAAGGCTGTTTGTTGCCCAGGTGTATAAAATCAGTTACACTAGCCCAACTAAAGAAAGAGGAAGTGGCGCTGAGCACTAACTGTATACCCTCCTATGCTGCTTGGATAGCTTCATCTCTATTTTCTCAAGGTCTTAGCTTCTGCTCCATGTTGCCTAGTGCTGGTGATCATGTTTTCTGCATTACTGTGGTGTTGATATTACTGTGCACATTTTTATCTATAGTTTACTGACCTTTCTTCAGGAACTGTACTTGGGAACTAAGAGAGGCTTAAAGGCTTTCATTAATGCCCTTGGGATTAATGGTTCTACCTCTTAGCCCATTTGCTATATTTCTAAGAAGTTACTTAGCAGCAAATCCAACCTAAATGTTTGACTTTTATCAAAAAAAGAGATTGCCAAGGGGCACCTGGCTGGCTCAATCAGTAGAACATGCAACTCTTGATCTTGAGGTTATAAGTTTGAGCCCCACATTCAGTGTAGAGATTACTTAAGAATAAAATCTTGGGGTGCCTGGGTGGCTCAGTCGGTTAAGCATCTGACTTCGGCTCAGGTCATGATCTCATAGTTCATGGGTTCGAGTCCCGCATCGGGCTCTGTGCTGACAGCCAGCTCAGAGCCTGGAGCCTGCTTCAGATTGTGTCTCCCTTGCTCTCTGACCCTCCCCTGCTCATGCTCACTTGCTCGCTTTCTCTCTCTCTCTCTCAGAAATAAATTTAAAAAAAAAAATTTTTTTTTAAATCTTTAAAAAGAGATTGCCAAATAAAAAATAACTAATTTTCTGAAATGGCTTATAAAGAGTTATATTTAAAATTACTTTGATATTAATGGAGGATATATTTACTAGTCAGTTGGAAGTGCTGAGGGGAGAATAAGGCCTTTTGGGCAGTGGTGTAATGCAGTTTTATTTTTTCAGAAACATGTTATCCATAGTGGATTCCAACTCTGGATACTGTAGTAACAGATTAATGACATTACTTGTTAGGCATATTTAAAGAAGTGTTATTTTTTAGATTACATAAATATATCCAAAGTGTGAAAAACTATGCTTTTCATCCTTACATCTTTGAAGAATACGACCATCTTCCTTTTTGCCTACTGAGAGGATTACTGTCTAACAATTAAGTTTAGTAGTAGCATTCTCACAACTCTTCCTAGATCTGCTTAAAACTTTTAAAAGTCATTTCTAGAAAAAAGTATCCTCTAACATCATAAAAACTCGACATTTTAAGATTTACTTTATATGGTTTTTATAACATTTCTAACTTTTCTTCATGCTTTTGCCTAAGAATGTGGCTCCTACATCCAATTCCCCTTCCTGGAGCTACTGCAGAGCCATCGCACAGCCACAGAAATTCTAGGCGGCCATGTCCCCTCGTGCTTCACATCTTTGGAGATGGTGACCCATTAAAATTGTGAGATTTGAATTGAAAATAAAAATTGTAGGGGCCACCACATCTGAAACCCTCTGGTCCAAAAAGTATCCTAATGCACCTATACTTTTCCTTAGAAAGTCTAATTAATGGAATTCAGGATTTTTAAAGAAAGTATGATTATTAAATAAAACGACGCCTGTATGTTCTTAGGTGCATTCATTTGACGGTACCAAGGAAGCAGCAGCTGCCTTGATGGACTTGGATCTGTATATAGGATTTAATGGTTGGTAGGTCCTTAAGTTTGTTTTATGTTAAGTAGATTCCTTGTTTAACAGTGAATTGCTGATAAAGATTTAAATATGTTTTTATTTAAATGTATTTATCATATTGATCTTGGCCTGCAAATTTCAGTTAAGTATGCAAGAAATTAAACTACATTATTCCTGCAAGTTAAAACTTTAAAGTTAGAGGGCGCCTGGCTGCTCAGTTGGTGGAGAATGCGACACTTGATCTGAGGGTGGTGAGTTCAAGCTCCGTGTTGAGCAGAGTCTACTTAATTAAAAAAAAAAAAAAAAACAAAACACTTGAAGGTTATAAACTAGTAACCCTGTATTACGGTTATGGACAACAATTTTGTATTGAGATCAGCAGCGAGCTTTCTCTGGCCGTGCCATTTATACTCCGCTCAGTCTATAGCTGTGAAGCATATGTGTTGGCAGCATTGTGCATGCATATATACAAGTGATGTCTGACCAGGGAGGAGACTCAGGCTAGGACATAACATTTTATGTATCTCTATAGGCCAAGAAACCCACAGAAGTTGAGAATCCATAAAAAGAACTCCTAGTAAGAGAACCAGTGTTCTCTGGCTCCGGGCTCTGCACCCGGTGACCTTTCTGCTCTTATACCTCCGCGAACCTCATAAACCCAGCACCGTCCACTAGCACAGCTGGGTCCTGGCTTCCCTTCTTCAGTGTTTCATTCCTTTAAAACAACCACGTTTCTGATTACATTAGCTTTGCTAAAATATCTCCTCAGGAAAGCAGAATCATGAAATAATATTTGCTATAGAGTTCAGACTTATTTATATGTCCTAGATGCTGCTTCTATAATGATTTAATTAATAAACCTCTATGGAAAGGAATGCATGAATAATGGCTTAGACAGCAGTTCTAAGAAACTTGTTAATACAGTCCTTCCACCATGTTCTCTCCCTGTGAGTCAGGTTTTCCAGAGACACCCTCCCCCCCTGCTCTGTATCACCGAATAGCTAAACATATGTAGGTGCTGCTGCTATTTCATTCACTCCCTGTGTCTCTTTTCATTAAGGAAATGAGCATCTTAGTTCTCACCTCCAGGACTGCTCTGCCCCACCCCTCGTCTTAATTGGTCCCCAGCCCTCTCTGGGCGGCTATTGCAGAGTTCTGGTTCTATGCACATTCAGTGTTTTCATCATGCTGTCTGTGTAAATACTGCCGAACCACAAGACATACCACTTTTTTATTTCCCTGGCACAGCTTTCTTCATTCTTCTTCAAAACTTAAAGCCTTCTCACGCTTTCCAACAACTCTGTAAAATGCCTTCATCTGTTCTTCTGCCTGACGACTCTATCTAGATAATCTTGTTATCTAGATTCTCTCTCCATTAGTTCCTGACCCTTCCATCTTTCTGCTTCACTGTAAGTCGTATCTGTTCCGTGATAGAACCCTTATGTTTAGATCCCATGGATTCAGTTTTGTTTTCATGGAACACATATTTCAAAAACCCTTCCACTTGGTATTTTTCCTGGGCATAAAATTCTGGACTAGAAATAATTTTCATGAGAATTTATAGGGTTCCATTTCTAGGTTTAAAGTGAGTGGCTATTCTGTTTCCCAGTCCTTACCCTGTGACCTACTATTTTCTCCAGTGGAACATTTTGTTCTTTACCTCTGGTACTCCCAGACTTCACCAAGGTGAATTTGTGTTGGCCCATTCCAGCCAGAAGCTCATCTTTGTCAGTCCTGGGAAACGTTTTTTTCTCCCTCTTTGGAGCTCCCAGGCTCATACTGTGATCTCAATTTTTTCCCCTCTTATTTCTGTCTCTCATTTTTCTGCCTGCTTTCAGAAATATTTTTCAACCTCTTTAATGAAACTTCAGCTTCTGGTTTTAATCTCTGAAAGCTGTTTCCCTCCCTCCCCCCCACCCTCCACCATTCTCTGGGGGGAAAAATGTGTGTGTGCACGCGCGCGTGCCCAGATGCATCTTCTCCTCTCTCTAAAGATATGAATGATAAAGTTATTTTCTGTTTGCCATATAATGCTTTTATGCCTTTACTTCCTCCTTTTTCCTTTGTTTTAGTCTCTCATGACTTTCTTCAAATGTCAGGGAATTCTTACGCTGTATATTTTACAAGATAAGAAAAAAACTCTTTGGAATCTCTGAGGGGAGAGAGCCTGTCAACATGCAGGCCAGCTGACCTCACCAGGGGGTCTTCTGGGTGGGTTCATTTTCTTCAGAGAGGGATCCTCTGATTTCTGCTGGTAAAACAGGGTGGAGATTCATAAATATACCTGTGTTCTGAAGCAGAATGGGGTTGAAGAGAGAAACTCACCAGCCAGTCAGCATTCAGTCTCCATTCCCCCCTCCCTCCCCCGCCCCGCACCCATCTGTGCTTCTTTTTCTCCAGTTCAGTCTCTGATTTAGCTTCTCCAGAGACTATACACACCCCTCTTCTCCCTTCTGTCTCTTAGGCCAGGGGTGGGGCGGCAGAAGCAGTCATCTCTGTGCCAGTTCACTGGAAAGTAATCCGAGAGTCCCATCTTTTCTGTACCCCACATTTTAAAACAATCCCCACTCAGTCCCCTGCCTTATCCCAGCCTCAGTACCTGGGATCTTCAGTTCTTAGAACTTCCTTGGGTGAACTGGGTTGCCTGTCTTCAGTATCTCTCTGCAGGCATGTGGCACTGAAGTCACTTAGCACATAAACAGATCATTTATCATTTTAACATCTACTTTCTGCTTTATATTTTGTGACTAGGGGTTAGAAATATCTCCTAATTTCATCCAAAAAACATGTATTTTTCCCTTATTTTGAAATGATTTTTAAGAGAAAGTAGACCTTAATTTCACTAACTTGAACTATATGTCTGTCTGACATTTCTAAATGACCTTGAATTTGTAAAGATTTGGCATTCAGAATGAATGTTAGTCATTTAAGCAAAGTCAGTATTTCTATTCTTGTTCTGAAATTCATTTTACTGTAGTCTTAATCTCAGTCTGAGGTACAGTAATTTAATCTGTACTACCTGTGACATAAAGTCTTGGTTTCTAAGGATTAAATTAAAACATTTTTCCCCAAGAAAATGGAAAAGTTTCAGTTTTGACTACAAAATCATGCAGCTACTTTCCCTTAAATGAGAAACTTATTAAAAATATAACTGGTTTTGATTTTTTAATTTACATCCAGTAATTGGTTTTGATTTAAAAATATTTTTCTGGTAGTATATATTTCTGTATTTAGATCACTTTTTATAAACATGGAATACATGTAGAAGACTAAGATATGATTTCTTTTCGTGAGGTTAAAACTATGCAAATAATTCATAACCAGAAGTTTTAAATTTAGTACCAATGTCAAGCAGATTTAGGAAATATTAATTTGTATTTAGGAAATATTAAGCTGGCTAAAAAGAGTTTTGTTTTTTTCCAGAGAATACTTATAAAAAGGCCGATATTTATAGCAAACTGTACACACACTTCCCTTTCACTGCTCTTAAAATCATTCTAAAGTAAAATCCTACTTAATCAAAATGGACGACCTTTAAGGGCAAAGAAACAAGGCCGGAGTTTCTGGAAAAGCCAGCTTAGACTAAAGGGCCCCAGAGGAGATGGGAGCAAAGTCAGCATGCAGAAATCACACAGAGGGCTTTGGGTGTAGAATTACTAACAGGACCAAATCAGGGTGATTGAAGGCCTTTACAGAGAAAGCTCTCACTCCCTATATTTATTGCCGTACGCAGAGTACAAGAGCAGAAAGCATTTCTACCAAAGAAAAATCTCAAGAAAATGGAAGAAACCAAATTGTGAGAGCCAAGGCTTAGAATTCTTATTTTGATCCCAAAGGAAGGCATTTAGAGAAGCAACAGTCTATCATCTCCTTACCTTTTCTCTTGGATGAAATTGCAGATCAATATTCATAGTCCTGGATGTCCCACAAGGAGCTTCCATGAAGTCCCCAATCAGAGGGGTCCTTGGATGGCTCAGTCAGTTGAGTGTCCGACTCTTGATTTTGGCTCAGGCCATGATCTTGCACTTCGTGAAATTGAACCCCAGAAAATCAGGCTCTGTGCTAACAGCGTGGAGCCTGCTTGAGATTCTCTCTCCCTCTCTCTGCCCCTCTCCCCACCTAAATAAAGAAACCTAAGGAAAAAAGAGTCCCCACAAAAAGACTGTCAGTAAAACAGTCCTCTGTTTACACAAAGCAGAGGAAACACAACACTGGAAACTCAAGCCTACTTAAATGTAAATTGATAATTAAGTACCACCAGACAAATGGGGTGAACCAACAGAAATTAAAAAAAAAAAGACAAATAGAAAAATTCACACCAGAGGAAACAGTGTAGGAAAAAGAACTTTAAAAGAGACCTGATAAAGTCCGGGCTGAAATGTAACATTCTGTTCATATTTTATGGCTGTAACAAGAAAACATAAAAGAATTCCTTAATGATTAAAAATGAATGTTAGTGTTAATACCACCATTGGAGTAAGCCAGAGAATCAACACATTCAACAGGAAGATACATATTTTTCCCCTCTACCAACTACCATTGGGTACCTAATAGTAGACAGGAATTTTCTCTTTATACAAGTATTCTAGTGTATAAAGGGCTGATAGGATTCTAACAACATTCTTCAACTTCTAGTAAACTAAGAGGTCTAAGCATTGGGCATCTGTGGCTGCCTCATGTCACACAAATATAACCAGATACTCTGTGCCTCTAGATAGAAGATCACACCATCACCTATGAAAGTCTTGCCAAAAAATGAAAAAATGCAACCTGAATCTGGCTGATTCAGATGCAATCTGAAGACTCTAGATGGTACTCTAGACATCCTGTAAGAAATACAGAAGGCAAAATTTTCTTAATGACAAGATGACCATGGAACATGGTACAGTAGGAGGATCTCACCTCCTCCCACAGATACACTCCACGCAACAACTACACGAAATGCAGCTCATTCAGAAAATGACTCGATTAGCAGAATGACTCTTCCACAGTAAAAAAAAGCCACATTGAGATAAGCA